TGTGGACGTTGCAGAGCTACAAACCTCAAGGATAGGAGAGATGTGATGTTTAAAAAGAATATATCTGATCTCCCAGCAAGTTTTTCTATTCATCCGTCCCCTCTCTGCCAGAGGTTGCCTGTGTTTGATCCTCACAGTGTGATGTAACGAAACTAATGATCAATGAAACTACTTCTGGAGAGAGAAAAAAATCATTAATACAAAGTAGCTTTTGTTTGTCTAGGTCACAAGGAAGACGTGCAGCAATTACCTTCCTGCCACAAGGTTTCACTTTCACATTTGCTGAACTAGCTTTTGCAATGTTATTCAAATAGTGTTTTAAACAAAGTAAGTTAAAATGTATGAATAATTCATAATGGTGTAATTATTATTTGGTGCCGTATCATTGTGCAGCTGCATAAAAAAGCTCATGCAATCACTAAAGTATTTGTTTGTTTTGGAATCTGTGATCTTAAAAAAAATGCATGGAAAAAGTTGTTCAATTCCATGCTAGACGGATGCATTATTTTAACACTACCAGAGTAGTTAATTCAAAATCTTAGTATTAAAAAGTATAGCAGAGAATGTGAGAGGTGTGGAAACATTTGAGTGAACTCAGGCACATTAAAAAGACTGATACTGTTAAGTGGGGCAGGAGTCAACCTGGGATGGCTTTCCCAGGATTCGGAGGGGGTCAAAGCTGGAGTGGTGCCACTCTCCCTCTCAGCAGCCAAGCCACAACTCCCTCATTATACCTGAGAAGTCCCACCAACCCCATCCACGGTGCACTGGGAAATATGGACCTGGCCCAACCTCCTGCTCCATGCAAAGGGGGGAGCTAACATAATAATTAGAATAAACAATAAGAGAATAAGAAGTGTTTCATCATTATTTGGATTTACAAATGTTTTGCCATTGCTCTTTGCCAAGCGGACGACAATAAATGCATGCATAAGCAAACTACCCAAATCTGAGGTTGCAACCCTAAAAAATATCACATGCAGAATGAGCAGTGTTGAAAAGTTATGTTTACCCTCCACTTTCACCAGATGGTATATCTTTTAGAACAATCTGTGTAATGCATTTTTTTCTAGGATGCAAAGCTCTTTACTTTGGTAATATTTCGCTTGAATATACATAAATATGAACAGAATTTCCACTTGATAAATTCATGCCTCAGCACACAGATACAAGGGTTTCAGGACTGAGCTATACTGAGGTTTATCTTCACATATAGGTATAGAAATAAAGGGACACTTAGACTTTTGTCACCCTTAGTACTTGCAAATAGCTACATAAAATTTCCCTTTTTGATTTCTCGGCTGTAGAATTCCTGTAATCTGAAGTGTTATTCATATGTATTTGACCAATAGAGAACTGTCTAAAGAAAACCTGACTTCTGCATACATTAAGACATTAGTATATGCACATTTATAATATTATTCTCCACCAAAATTAAATACATATTGTAAAACAATTTTGCTGAGCAGATTTATTATTGTAAATGGAATAAACAACCATTATTTTTGTAGATTAGTAGCTTGAAGAATGGTTCAATGTCATCTGCATCCCGTCACAGTGTAGCTTTGTGTAGTTTCTGTAAAAACTAAAAATGCTTAAATAGAATGCTTAATCAACTCATTCAGTGAATGTTATTTGACTTCACCTTACAGTTATTATCATTATGATTGTTCAGTAAAAAAAGTACCATCAGGAGTACTTGTTAAAGTTCCAATAAACTACATCTTTATATTATAATTTCACATTATGTATAATTGAAATTCAGTAGAAGAACTTGTGCATTATTCTACATCAGGATATATTAAAACCAAGCAAGAGAACAAACAGAGCCATCTAGTGTCCACACAATGGATGTCCACAGCAGTCCTCTCTTTTTTTTTCACCAGATGACCAACAAATCCAATAACAGATGTGCTTTTGTATATTCTGGCAAACCACAACGATCACTCTGAAAAACAAAAATAAAATCTAAGACTTTACTATGAGCAGTCAGCAGATAGAATGGTGTTGGCTTCTCTAAATATAGTGATTTATCTTCCACTTATGGTGTTTTTAATAGTTTCAGGCCAGAAAGGGGGGAAAAAAGAACTTTTCCTTACTTGTTTATGTGTCTTGATGTGACAAGCTGTGCCTACTTTAGTGATGTGCTTCTCTCAAATGTTGGGTAAGGCTGCCCCCACCTGGCCAACAGCTCACTGCTTTGTTATGCTGTTTTCTCCCCTCCTTTAGATTCTCTTTCTCCATCACTTGCTCTTTGCACTTGTTTCTATTAATACAGCATTTCTTTAGATAAGAAGAGTCATACATGTACATACCCTCTGCTAAAGTGAATATTTGGATTTCTTAATTCTTGGGACACTGTAAACGTAGGAATGAAATGCTAAACACAAAATAGTTGCAAATCTTTACCTTTTGGTTTACTCTTTTAAAATATAGTTTTACGTTTCTTCAGCAACAGTTGCTTTGGGAGGCAATCTGTGTGCTGGCTGAAATAACTGCTGTAGTATAATTTGTGAACATAGCCCTGAGAGCCCATTTTCCTCTGTGTGGTCACCACTGTTCATCAGTATGGAAGTCTATGAGGTGAGAAGAAATTGTAATGACGGACACTGAGCGGTGAGAATCAGTGACTCAATAAGCCCCCCTCCCCATCCCTCCAGCCCCCTAATTGCTTAGCAACAGTCTTCCAGGGTCTCTCATTTGAGATCAAGAGTTTAGTGGACTGAAGACTCCGCTTTGGAGAAATAGAGCTTGTGCCATTTGATAAGACAGCGGAGAAATGGGCTCTATCTTCTACTTCCTCTGAGCCCTCCCCAACCATTCCTCCAGCTGCCCCCCCATCCTTCTGTTTTCTCCGTCTCTCCTCCATCATTCCTCCCCACCCTTTCCTACCAGGATGATTATGTTACCTTTCAACTGCATGATGTATTGAGTTCTCTAGATTATTTTCTGTCATCTCAGTTAATTGAATTCTGTCCATCACATATAGATGTTTTAACATTTGCATAAAGGTTAGAGTGGTGAAGAGTGTCAAACTTCAATTTAGACAATGTCACTCAAACAAATATATTGGCCTCTTTCTCTGCTCTCTGGAGGTGGTATTTACGGATTCTCTGTGAATTTAAATGGATCTGTATTCCTAGTATATCCTGCCTCTCATATACGTGTAAATATGAATATGAAAATGACCGGATGTCTCTCTGGTAGGAGGTGTGAGACTATGCGAAGTGGCAATAATCCGCACGTGTCCACACGGCCGCCCTTCATGGCAGGTTTGCAACATGCAGGCATTGCCGTTCTCCACAGAAGCTCCCCGGAAAGCACTTCCTCCTACTCCTCTACTCATCGTCAAGTGCCTCTAACATTCAGCCTGCAAATGCTGCATGGACACCGCGGTTGTTGTTGGGAGGGGTACAAAAAAGGACCCTAACACAGTATAATGTAATTTAGATTCTAGAAACAAACAAAAAAAAACACATGAAAGCTCATAGATACATTTTCTTTTGACACATGCTGAGTCCCCTGTAGGGATTTTGACTCTCTAATGCCAGATTCAAGAGAAAATTGTCAGACAAATGTGACTTTCAAATGTCAGACTGTTTATTGGATTCTTTTAACAAAAGATCTTTTGAAAAATCACCTAATATTATCAAGGTATTTTCTTATATAAATAAAAATATTAAATTTGCACAAGCTATGTGAATCACATAACATACATGGTCACCCATTAGCAATTATGTAGACCTGTTTAGGTGTTATGTTTAGGAAAAGTAGTCCAACGTTTTCTTGAGTCAAAAATGATACATTTGTCCATGGAGGACAATTTGGTTGAAATTACCTTTACATGACAATTATGATTCAATAAAGGTAGAAAAATTGGTAACATTAATAAGAATATATTTTCTTTTTGTTTAGTTTTAGTTTTTTTTTATCATAAATGTTAGACAGCTATTTGGCAAAAAATATATATTGTTTTCTTTTTTTGTATTTCTTTTAACACCATATTTAACATCTCAACGAGGTGTAGTCCTCTAAAATATCCTAAATGCTTCATTGCAGCTTTGAAGGGTCAAGTGTGCCACATGTTCTTATTGAATGAATGAATGCCAAGACTTCATCAAAATTATTTCATTACTTTAAAAGGTGTATGCATGAAATAAAATACAAAGATAAAAAGAAAAAGATCTTTTTTTTTCTTCTAATGAACCTTTACATTTTTTGGTAATCTGGATATTTTGATGGTTATTATTTGTATCAGGCTGTTTATGGTTTTTATCTACTGTATGTCTTTAGTAAAGATAAGTGCATGACTGCAAAGTGTAGTGTATCATTTCATTTTCCAAAAAAAAAAGGTGAGGAAGTCATAATTATAAAAAAAATGAACAGTTCCATTTTTAGATATTTTGCTAAAAAATAAGGTCTTCCTTTTAAAGAAGTGATTTTGTTAAAACACTAAGGATCTCAAGAATACTTCTTCCAAAAATGTTCTTTTGGTCTCATGCAAAAATGATTGTTATAAAGAAGCATTTAAATAAACAGAACTAACCATTTGAAATTGAAATCCTTTGATACTATAACCATCTATTAGGTTTATGTCGCAGGTTTATGTAGCGTCATGGGTGTGCATTGACAGCATGCATCTGGAGCTAAAATATGTCCATGCCAGTTAGTCAATAAATGGAAGAGCGGAGACGACAGACAGATTAGAGTGCTTATCTCTTTTCATCAGCTCTGAATGCCGGCTGAATTGAAGGTCAATATCTGAGGATTCTCCAAGCCAAGCAGGTGTCTGGAGAGTATGGATTGGCTAGTGCTTGCAGCTCCTCTCTGCGTCTTTGTGGGCAGGCCAGGGCCAATTTCAAATATGTCACAGCTGCATTTGAGCCAACAGTTACCTGGACAAAACCACCATACATTACACGACATTCCTCTTTAAGACACCCCCACCACCACCACTGCTCTGGTCTTCATTCTTTCCCCTTCCCCTCGCTTGTCTGTGTGTCCCCCTCCGCCGGTCGAGATATGTCACGTCGCAGGCTTTGTCGCCCCATGTGACACGTGGTGAGTTATCAGCTGAGGAAATGTCTGCGAAGAAACAGGCGTTAGCAGGTTATTATTCGTAAAAACATAAAAGACAATTGTGCGTCTGTCGGTATTGACGAGAAGATTTGCAATCTTTTTCAGGAAACGCCGTGGTTTTTGATTGAAAATTAGGAAACACAAACATGTGGGGGGGGACAAGGCGAAAGAACGAGTCGTTTCAATAAGCCATCCGTTTACAGCTTTTTTCAAGGTTGTTCATTATTGATTACATCTCTTTTTCTCCTTTCAGAGATGCAGTTCGAAAACACTGCCGATAAAGAACTATTTTAAACTTACTGAGACAGTGTTCAACTCTATCTTGTTTCTTTTTACTCCCCTTCATGCCCCGTTTTGCTGTGAATGCAGGCGATATCTCGCTGGAAATGGACGGTGAAAGCTGGCAGGCCGTGAAGGGGGCAGATGGCGCTCCGTTCATGCCTCCAACTCCCATGTTTGTGTTTGAGTTTAGCACTCTGTTCAAACTCCATAAAAGCGGTAGATAAACACCGGCACTCCTGTGGTGCAGTTCGGGGACTTATGCAGAATGCAGCCAAGGTTGCTGATGACGCTGCTGAGGTGGTGCTTGTGCATTGAAAGGTCTTGTCCAGTGTGTCAGAGGGCCCTTTCGGCTACTCTCTTCTCAGACAAAGCACCGATGAAGGGGCTCACTCCAGCAGGACATAGCTGCTGGGGGGGAGAGAGAGAGGGGGAGAGGAAGAGCAGCTGCAGCACTCCAGACCTGCTCGCCTGCAGCAGGAGGCTATCTCAGCCACATAGACTCCTCCCCAGGCTGCCCAGTACCCTCCACCCACCACCACCACCTACGTGAAGACGGCAGATCTGCCCTTATCTCAGCATGTGCTTAGATGTCTCTCAGCCAGACAACCGCTTTGCTCACAATATGGGCAGCAAACATTTAAACAGATATAACAGGCGGGATATTTTTTATTCAGAATTGCTCTGGAAAAATTAATGTGATTATAAGAAATGGAGGGTGAATATAATTCTATTTTGGCAATTTGACTCGAACTGTGCAAGAAATTCATATACCTCTGCAGCACTGAATAAAAAGAAATCTCCTGCTGAGTATCGTAGGGAAAGGAATGGTTGGCTTTATTTGTGTATGCATCTCTAATGTTATTGTGGCTATTTTTATTCAAGCAGGCAAAGTTGTGAGCTCACCCTTGGCTTTTATTTACATGGTAGTCTTTCGTTAGCTCGACGGGAGAGCCTGGCCTGCTGTAGATAGGTCTTTTCAGATGCTCACAAAAGCTGCTTCAGAGGCTTTTTGTTGCCGTAACTACCTCTTTCTTCCTCACATTCCAAATATATTTGGTTCGAACCTGGTGGCCTTGATGAACAAGGTTCTATGGAATCAATCAACTGCTTCTCCCAGAAGATCTTAACATGGTTTAATGTTGGCCTTGCCACATTGTCCTTTTGAGATATAAACTTCATCCAACTTACGGCTGAGATCCAACTTTCTTTTCTGAGGGGTCTTTTTGTGTAGAGTGGATTTCAGAGAGGCCTCAGCGTGGGGGAAAAAAAACACAAGCAGAGAAAGAGGCTGGCAAGGCTAAGGCACATTGTTCTCGCTAATAATGAATGACAGCATACCTCAAGTATTTTTTTTTGTGCCTCCCTCATTCAGCAAAGTAAAAGAAACATCTCTAAATCTGTTATATATAATTTATATTCAGCTTAGCACACAAGGAATATGAGCGGTTTATGAGTGTATTTCTGTCATATATAATTCATGCATTTTATCCACCTTTAGATCATCTAAGTAATGTAATTTAATATATCTATTTACAGTCTTATTTCCTGTTTTTTTGTGCAGGGGCAGACATCCTCCCGTGGTTGAAGTATTTCCTCCATGAAGTAAATTTTTTAAAGTTGTAAAGGGTGTAAATTTGGAAAATCACATTTTTACTTGCAGAAAATAGTGTCTATCTCCAGAAGGGTTTTTTTAGCAAGAAAATAAAGAGTAAAAAAAAAAACAAAAAAACAAAAACAGACTATTTTTTATATTTTTAAATGAAACCTGTTAAAGTTCAATGCTTGATTTAAATTTGAATATTTTATTCATTCTAGTGTAAACTGTTTTTTTTTTTTTTGTCTTATTTGTACAGAAGAGGATTAGGGCCACTGAAAAAATAAACATTTTAACTTATTTTTTTATTTTTATTTCAGTTTTATATGGGAAAAAAGTCAGAATTCTGACTTTTTTTCTCAGAATGTCAGAATTCTGAGATTAAAGTCAAGACTTAATTATGAAATAATGAATTGATTTTTCAGAATAACTAAAACTATGATAAGTTAAATTTTTGCTGCTGTGCATAACTGATGCTGTTTCTCGCCTCTGCCCCTTCATTATAGACAGGTGACTGCAGCACCTGGGATATATATGTATTGGAGCATGAAAAAACAGTGGCATGACAAGAAAGAAATGAACGGATATGATCTGCCTGTCACGTTATACTGTTGTAAGAAAATCTAACTTTATTTTTGGAAAATAAAACGTCTTGAACCAGAGGAGAAAAGTGTGTTGGATGACATGGTCACTTTAAAAACATTTGACAGCGCTTGAACACCAAGAGCAACGCACATCTTTATTGGAAGCTAATAAAAGCATTAAGACTTTAGACCCTTTTTGAAACTACTTTAAGATGTGATTGGTATCTGCCGTAGTGGAAATAATTGTTTTAATGTTTTTTCTGGAAAATAATTAAATCTTCTTGCAAATATAATTTATAGATTCTCCATCAGATGTAGATAGTATATTGGATCACATTATGAAGTCTCTAATATAAACGGCTGAAAAAATAAAGGGAACACGTAAATAATACAATGTAACTTGAAATAAACCAAACTTCCGTGAAATCAAACTTTCCACTTAGGAAGCAACACTGACTGACAATCAGTTTCACATGCTGTTGTGCAAATGGAATTGACAACAAGTGGAAATTATTGGCAACTAGCAAAAGGGGTGGTTCTGCAGGTGGGGAACACAGACCAATTCTCAGTACTTATGCTTTCTGGCTGATGTTTTGGTCACTTTTGATTTTGGTGTTGCTTCTAAACTTGTGGAATCATGACACGCAGCTCATCCAGGATGAAACATCAATGCGAGCTGTGGCAAGAAGTTTTGCTATGTCTGTAAGCTTTGTGTCCAGAGGTTAGAGGTGCTACCAGGAGACAGGTCTGTACACCTGGAGATGTGGAGGAGGTCATAGGAGGGAAGCAACCCAGCAGCAGAATCACTACCTCCAACTTTGTGCAAGGAGGAACAGGAGGAGCACTGCCAGAGCCCTGCAAAATTATCTCATGCAGGCTACGAATGTGCATGTATCTGCACAAATGATTAAAAACGGACTCCATGAGGATGGTATGAGGGCCTAACGTTAACAGATGGGGGTTGTGCTGTGGTGCCTGATAGCACATAACAATTGCCTTGTTCCGTCTTTAAGGAGTAAGAGGTGGCAGGGCACTGGAAGGCAGACAGGCTAGTGGGTAATGATGGAAGGTTTTCAGGGTTCTGAACACTTGGACAAGGGAAACAGCCCGGGGAGTGGTAAGGGGAGTCTCGGAGAGAGACTTTAGGTGAGTTCTCCAACAAACTCGGGAGAAGCAGAGCCCTGAAATCCAGCTATAGAGTCCCAATGGAAATCTGATTTCCTAAAGGGAGGATTATAAAGAGGTAAAAACGTAAAGGTAGGAACTGAGAAGAAGTAGACTTTATTATTTGACATCTATCTAACATCTGCTTCTTTTCAAGCATCTCCCCACTAGATTTTGAGCTGTGAACACGTACCTGGCTGTCACACCCTGTAATCAGAGGAAGAAGAGAACACACCACAAACCTGTACACCGCCCTGTGGCTATGGAAGCCTGTATGTACAATTATGAACCTGCTGGGATGCAGAAAAATCTATATGACAATTCTTTTAAATTTGAGAAAAAGGTTTCTTTTTTAAATGCCACCTACGGTATCCTCTATTATAGAAAAACATGGGGTTCAAATACATAAAATAAACTTTTGACCAGAGCTGGAGGCATTTTTTATGTTTTTGTTTTTTTGTTATTTTCCAGTTTCTTATCCATTATATACACTCGAGTTAAAATTATTTTATTATATTTCACATATTTAAAAAAAGAAGTGATAGTTTTAAATATCTTCTTATTATCTTCCAAACAGTTGGGGAAGTTAAAAAGACCCATAAAGAAAATTTTTTCCCACAGTACTAAGGTGAGTAAAATTACTGCTCGATGGAAACAAAATGTTAAAAACAGCCATTTTTTTCCCTCTTTCCTCTTTATTCATTTTTGTCAACTGGAAACATTAGTAGGAAAACAGACAGCTATTCATGGTGGACATATGTGCAAGGCACCATCAGCCTCTCCCAGCTTCAGTAAAACAGCAACATCTGCCTTCAGTTTTTATAGCCTGCAACATATGCCCCTCATTGGTGACAAAGCTGGCTGAGCCTCTCATGCTGTTCCTGTCCCCTAGTCCAAACATACATCTTTAGATACCTGTCACCCTTTATTATTCCATCCTCTGTCGCTGCAGATAAGGGAAGTTAAAGTTTAATGAAATGCAGGCGGGCTGCAGAGGCCCTGCTTTTATAATTTGTCACTGGCTGTGTGCTGGGAGACCTCTCCTATGTAAACACGGAGGTAGTGGTCACGGCCATTACTTCTAAATGACTGAGCGTGGACCAAGTAGCAGAGATGTCAATCCGAAACAGCCATTTTCCCCCTTTTCCCGCAAATCAAGCCGGAGACATCAAAATCTGTAACACAGAAACTCTAATAAAGCCTGCGGTAATGTTTTCACAGAAAATTACCTACGGAAGCTGTATCCAAATGCAGTCATTTCCCGTCTGCAGTTTCACATAAATTTCATAGCCAGGATGTCTACTGTTGTCTGTATCCCCAAATGTGGAAGCTGTAGGTGAGATAAGTAACCTGCAACGATGCAAACGTAGTGTCCTGATCATCAGCCTCAACCGATTAGAGACATATGACGTAGAAGCACATATAACATGTTATCTCACTATGGAATATGAATGATTAATGGGGATTTAGATGCATGCTGTGGTGGTGGTCAGCTGGGTTTGTTTTTGTAATTTTATACAATTTTAAATTCAGTTAACCTTTAAACTAGATCTACAGTGTGATGCAAAAGCATTCATACTCCTTTACACCTTCACCTCTTTTTTTTATTTTTGAATCTAATACATTTAAATTTGATATTTATTTTATTCAAAGCAGCACAAAATAGCCTTTAACAGCAAAGAAAATTGAAAAGGCTTTTTGAAAAATTCTATAAAATGTTGAAAAGATTTTAAAGACATTTTTCATTCCAATTCTGTTACATAAAATGTAGTGCAACCTTCTGGACTTACCTAATCAGTAAGCAGAGTAAATACATCTGTTTTGTGAACACAGCATACAGGTCAGGGATATAAATGAGGAGAAGTTTAAAACTGAGTTAGCTTTTTTGACATTTCATGGATTTCTGTTTTATTCATCATCAAAAAATGTCAAACAGCATGATGTGACTGCAAGCTTAGGAAGACCCACTGTCCACCTAAAGTGACAGACCAGGAAGCAAGACCATGATCCGAGATGTATGACCAATCTGGAGGAGCTGCATGCTTAATAAAGAGCTCATTTGGAAGGATATTTTGACAGGACACCTATTAATCATGCAATAAAAAAAAAAAGAAGAAGAATCTTGATCTTGTGAAAGAAGCAGAGAGAAAAATGAAACCCTATAAGCTTGCAAAACATATAGGAGACAGTATATGGTTGAAGTGGCTCTGGTCAGATAAAACCAAGGCAGATTTATTTTTTGCTCTACATTCAACATTGGGTGGAGACCAACACTGTACATCACCCTTTGGTGGTGGTAGCTTTATGCTGTGGGCTTAAGACAGAGAAAACCAGGAAAAAATCTCTAAGAGGCTGGAAAAGATCAGAGACTCTGAACATCCGGCTGGAGCAACCATGTAGTTATCCAGTCCTGACTTAACAATGCAGTTTACAGGCCCTCTCCATTCAGTCTGAACTTCAGCTGCTGTGGAAAGAACAGGTGGAACAGGTCAACCTACATATTCGAAGAGACAAATCCTCACGGACCTGCATTTGTCATCACAGTAACATGTGATCTACAAATAAGGTGCTAAACCCAAATCCAGCCTTCACTTTTTAGATTTTCATTTATAAAGGCGGATCAGAACCAGATTCCAGTTTATTGGGTTTGCACTTACAAGGAATTTGAATTGGTGTTGATGGTGCTGACAAATTTTATATATATATATATATATATATATATATATATATATATATATATATATATATATATATATATATATATATATATATATATATATATATATATATATATATATATACATTAGTATACATATATATGTATACAAACATATATATGGAAAAATTGGAAACAGTTTGAGAGCTGAGCTACAGCAGAAAGCTACTAATAGATCTGGAATTCCAGATACTAATGAACATTAGCAGAGATACAAATCTAAGAACCACAGATTGTTAACCTTAAGCTAAAATAGAAACAGGAAATAATAAAACAAAGAAATTGATAGGAGATAAAATAATCTTAAAATAAAGCCAAAGCCAAAAAAATTTTTATAATGAATTAAAAAAAATGGAGCTTAAATATATCTATATCAAAAGTATCGGTAATAAAAAAAATGTGAATCTGAATTTTCTGCAAGTCTTTTATCTCAATCAGAGGGGGTAAAAGGGCTCATTCCAGCACTCCAGTTTGAAGCTCTGTTTTGGCCTGGACCGCACTAAAACCCCACACACTCACTCCAGCTGTCGTTGATGTCTTAATAGAGCGAGGATCTAATTTAGCCAATCCCCCTGACATTTATCCTTAAGGTAAACTCTAGCCCTCCCCACTCAGTCCCAGTGGCACCCAGTGCTGACAAAATGGAGCGGGGATATTTTGGAG